AGGCCACGATTCACACCATTTTATCAACCGGAGGGGGGACACATTTAATTACAAAACCAAATTCATACAGCTGTCTTAAACACTTCATACATCCAGCAATGCATCGTCACAATTCAGTTATCCCCCAACCTTCAGTCCAGTCATGTCGAAAGCTTACTGGAATTCACGCGTACTGGTCGATGCCAGCGGTTGCTTTGACACTCGGAGGAATGTTTATACAGATGTTCTCTGTTTATGCCAAACCTCCTCATACATCATCTAATTGCGTATGAATAAGGCATTAGGGACTTTATTATTGCTAAGACTCATACTTGACCTTCAGCATGTACTGTTTTGTTGCTAAGTAAGTATAGGGCCCCGTGTAAGGATATATAAGACAATAAAACTGCTTCTACAGTTCCACCAAATATCCCTCACACAATGTTAGAGAATCGTTTAGAACATTCCTGTATCCAGATTATGATCTGGATCATCGCCAAAATTAAATGAATTAGCATGAGGGACACATCTGATATAAAACACATCCATAATTTTCAAGTTATCCTATACACAGACAGACAGACACACAAACTTTCCTAAAATACAATCTTGGCTGAGGTATAAACATAAAGCAACTGGGGCACAAGGATCGTAGAGAGTGAGAGGATAATTAGCTGGTTGATTTGAGTTGAGGTGGGAACAGAAACAATCTAACCAAGCAAAATGAAGTTATTAAAGGAGACTAAACAAGGCCTTGACTTAAATCCTATAGAGATATTAAGTCTTGCCCCTCAACAGGCCTTTCATGCACTGGTGGGGCCTGTGCGGGTGGAGTCCAAATGATTAGTCTGATGTTATATTATTTTAAAGTAATTAGTAAAGAATATGTTTTGATCAGTATTCATGTCATGAAAATAGTTATCAGAATCAGAAATACTTTAATAATCCCAGAATATTGCAAGGAATGAATAAATGTCAATTACAGAGGGTGGGTGTCTGAATCACTTAGACTTATATAATCACTTCTTTGAGTTGTACTTAATATGACATTGTTAAACTTCCTGTTCCGTAATTGTTTTCTAATGCTGGAAGTCCTCTAGGGAAGGCCTGACTGAATCTATCCGATGCACTGAGCCAGCCAGACCCAAGACTGCAGGCATCTGCAGACCAGTCAGGTCCTCAGAGAGAGTTTTTTTTTTCAAGTGCTGCTGTTTACATCCAGGCAGCTGAGTGGGCAAAGTGAGATGCTTTAAAAAAAAAAAAGCTCAGTGCAGTTAAACGTCGTAGTCTAGCATCTTTTTAGACGCCTTAGGGGATAGATATTTCAGCACATTTCTCCAACTCTAGGTTTGCACTTTCCAGAACATCTAAGCCTGTTTTTAGGACCCGAGTTTCTGCTTATGCGGCTAAAAAAGAACATAGAACACACTGTTAGCCTCTTGATTGCATTGAATATTATATTTATCTGTTACTCAATAACCTTCAGGCATCTGAACAACGTTTGATGGCTTTTTTTCAGACACTCAGCAACAGCAGCAAAGCCATCAGAGAGCATCCATTGATCTGTGAAATGAAATGAGACCTCAGACATAAACAGGAAAGTCATTTAATAAATCACAGTTTTTACTTGTATAAACAGATATTAATGTGATCCTAAAGTTAAATGATATATTTTGGAGGTGCTGCATGAGTTGTAAACTATAGATAATAAATGATTCTAATAATAAATGGCTGCTTAAACCCTGCTAGTGTACTGTACATATTCCACCAATAACATAAATTTATGACTATTTAAAATCTCATCTGTATTTCCTATAGAGCAGCTGTAATGGCTATGGAAATCTTTCTTCTTGCTTGTGTAATCTAAGTTGCTGCTCCTTTAAGGCATGCATGCCTCAGGTATTATTCACATTTCTTTCTGGATCACTCTTTAAATAACTCTTCTTATTATTGTAAACGACTTTCAACCAGGACTTAAACTTTAACATAATTCACTTTAAGTTAAACAGAGAAATGGTAAATTCTCACTAGTGTGGTGTGTATCTGATAGGGTGCGTCATTATTCGATGTCCTCCCCGTTTTTAATGGAGAAGTATCTATTAAATCTAACAACTCTATGTGTTTTAGGGTTAGACAAGCCATTTTATGAATGATAAAGATAATTCCTAACATTTCTGTCTGTTTTGTGTCTGAAGAATTTTACTTTATTATTATCCCAGCTTTACTATGTGTTTTAGTTTCCAGGCTGGAGGTTAGAAAACAGTCAGGGTTAGTTTAAGTCAGGAACAGCACCATCAGTGCCTTGTCTTATGGAGTGGGGGACATTAACTATAATAATGCTGGCTTTACCTCCAAAAAACTAGAGTTCTCTGCTTAGTAAACATTACTGTAAGCTTCGTTTTACATTTTGCACCCCTTTTGGCGTCCGACAATTCTCTTTTTTCCAAATTAAAAATAAAGTCAAATAAAATACAAACCAGAAGCTTTACAGAATCTGCTTATAACGACACATTTAACTAAATAAATGCTAAACCTGGCTTACATGGACTCTTTGAAACCTGCAGGACCGTAATCAGTAAGTGAGCTTCTGATAAACCGACAGTTTATAACAGTTCATGTTAATGAGGGTACATTAATCTTCCATGCTGCAACTCTCTGATCATTTCTGTTAAATTCATACTCAGAACCTAATCCTGTATATAAACCCTAAAAAAAAAAGAAAAGAAAAAAATATAAACCTAAACATTTCACAGGCATTTAACATTGATCCATAAGCAGATGAGGCTGTTGTCAAATATATAGAAACTTATACTGTGTAACTAAAGCCAGGGAAGTTACCATTGAATGTGTTGTCCCATTCAAACAACATGTAGAGGCCTCGTTCTTCATTAAAGCGTGAAAAGTTGGGACATTACTGCTTAAAATCAATAAACTATATATCCATATGGTTTTTTATTGCTTGTCTGAAACAAGGTTGTCTAGCTTGTCTAGAAAAATATGAAGTTTAAAATAGTTTCTATTAGAAAAACATCTCTTAAATAAAGGCTTATATGTTTGCTTTTTGTCTTAAATGGCAAAAACAAATGCTATTATCTGCTTCCTTAAGTTCACACAAGGAACTTCTCCTCTTACTTAAACTTCAGAGCTTCTTTATCATAAATATTGTGGATAATGGTTGATCTGAGGAATAGATAATATTCTTATACATTTTTGTAAGGTCCACATTTGTGCGACCATTTTTTTTTTCCTATAATCTTTTTTGCTGCTGTAAACACCAGAACTTCCCCATTGTGGGACAATAAAGGGATTTTCTATTCTATTCTATTCTATAAATGTTTTGTTTTTTTATTAAAACAGGGGACAAGTACTATGAAAAATTTGCTACTTTTTGATTATTATTGAAAACCTGTAAAAAGGCTCAAACATTTCATTCAGTTATGTCGATATTATGACATTTCACCATAGTAATGTTTCCTAATAATATTTAACTTTTGATCTGGTTATGCTCCCCTCCCCACCCCACTGGGCATCCCTTAATTAAGCTCTCTGGGCCCTGATGAAAGCTTCAGGAAAGCTTCTTTAAATCTTTGATTACTGATAAGATTGTGGAAATATAAAGGTCCCCCCTTCTGATCAAGTTTTTTTTTTTTAAATAAGTTAAAGTGCTATTTCTGTAAAGTGGGCCATATAGGCCGGTTAAACCGGTATAGGAATTGATTGTTTTAACCTGATTACCTTGGATCTCCCCTTCACCAAAGTCATTTTTGTACCTGGCTTATTGTCTGTATCTCTTTTTGAAAGAAGAATTCCAACTTAAACCTTCCCTTTGCTCACAACATTCCCATAAAGAATTTATTTTCTCGTATAAAATGTACCTTTCACGTTTTTTTTTTCGTTTTTTTTTTTTGAAAAAGTGCTTTAGAATATCTCTGTCAAAAAAAAAAAAAAAAACATTTGCGGCCTATTAGAGTAAATATGTCTTGTGAATTTTAACAATGGTTAAAAATGAATGTTTTTGTCTAAATAAAATCCAAATAAAAACGGTGACTCAGTAAATGCGCACGCATGGAAGCGCACGGGAATAGCGCAAATGGTGCGTGAAACCCCAAAACGCCGCGCCATATGCTCAAATGTCTACCTCTCGCCACCTTTATTTGAACTCTTATTTTTTAATTATTTTTATTTTATCTTAGGGGCCTCGATGCTTGTGGAGAAAAAATATCTCTGAAACGTTTTCTTTGTTTTTATTTTCTGATAAATATCCTGTGGGGATAAAATCTGACATTAACTATAAGCAGGATTTACTTGATCTATGCAGATGGAGCATTTATTTACTACATAATTGAAATAAAATCAAGTTGAGGCCTTAAAAGAAAATGTAGTATCGAAATTTCTGCTTGGTATTTTAATTGATTTGATTTTTTTTGAAGTTACAAACAGGTCCTGATTCAATTTCCAAGCATGAAAATGCGCAGAACAAATCTGACGTTTTTTATCTCCAAAATCAATAAACTTAATTGCAAAAAAAAAAATATTCAGCTTCTTTGGGTTTTATTTATCTTTACATTTTGATGAATACTTGTCTGTTTTGTTTGAATGCATCCCCTCCCCTCAACACGCCCGGTTGACATGCGGTCTGGACGTGCACGGAGCCGCGCCGCAGCGCGCTCCCCCAGCTTTCCAATGACAGATGATGAGGTTTTAGCACCGCTCGGTGAACTGGCCCCGGGGGCCATTTGTCACAGGCTGTCCAGAAACAAGCCAAGCATGGAAATGAATTTGCTCATTCACATAAAACAGCCCACGTCAGCCATGCTTAACATGCACCACAGTAACTAACTGCTGCCTCTGCATGCGCACCCGTGTTACGCGCAGGCTTCAGGACGTTTTCCTGCCACATGCGTGGATTTGTATAAAGTTTTTCACCTCAAATAACAAATGTTTTTGCAGATACTCATTTTCATTGAATGCATGCAGAATTAGCAAGTAATTATCCTCATTTATAAAGCATATAGTCTCACCTTTGCAATTTTAAGGAGTACAGCTTCGCACTCTTCTCGTCTATAAGGTGGGATTTCTCAGAATTAGACTGAGTATTATCCATTTTTTTTATTCCAGCAATCTTTCAAATAATTGTTTCTTATCCTCCTTTATTGTCCTGCAGCTGCAGGTGTCGAGAGATCCGGTTTCCTCTGATTTTCAGTCGACGCAGAATAAAGTCAGCCAGCACCACATATTCACTGATGTCCAAGTCTTCAGGGCAAACATTAAAATTATTTCATTCCAGCGACGAATAGCAGTTAGAGGGGTAGAAAAAAATTTTTTTTTTTTTTCAGTGAATTCTTTCTCCTTTTTTGTTTGAAAATAGAAAAAAAATATTGTTGGACTTGTTGCCTTTAAACGTCAAACTGCAGCAGGAATGAGGCAGAGCGCGCTGAACACTGCAGCTGCTTCTGTTCCTGCAGAGGGTGCAGAGCCTGACTGATCACAGGACACCTGAACTTAATGGGACAGGCGTCAGAAGGCGCGAGCGTTTCAACATGCTTCCATTCGTGCATAAATAGCTGGAAAAATAAATTCAAGACGCTTGCAAATATCAGAACATATGCATCCAAATTACAACATTTATTGTACGCGTACAGTGTTTTCTAATTTGCACTAATTTAAAACCATTCTAATCTAAAATGGCAAAGCCTAAAAGTGCATCATTAGATTAAACTATAATAAAAATGAGAAAAATATTATTTTAATTAAATATAGCCTTAATGGATCCACTACAAAAAACAAAACAGAAATAAATTAATAAATATCTTATTATGATATAAATTATGATAAATTATTGCATGCACAAAATAAGATTGTTGTTCCTACTGTTTCTGTTTGGTTTGTTTTTTGTTGCCTTACTCAGTCACCACTCAGACTTAATAGATAAAACTAACCAATAGAAATTTATGTAAACTAGCAGATGACCTAATGATTGGTATGGGTAACTCAAAAGTCTAGGTAATGTTTTATTCCTGACTTTTGCTGAGCCTTTATGGCAGGCCATATTATCATATAATAAACCATAACAGGCTTCTGAAGTTATAAGTAATTTTTTCCAGTAAACAAGTAAGGTTTGGGGTTAATTGTTAATTAATATTCGTATTAAGTCTAGAGTTTCCCAGGTATAGTCCTGAACTCATTGTTAAAGAGATCTATAAAGGAGTATGAATATCTTTGGGCTTAATTGTTTATAGGCTATTTATGACTGTATATTATTACCTTTTGTAAATGAGTTGTAAATGATACATTTTAACACATACATTATTTATATCTAAATTTCTCGTTTAAGTGAAAAAGGTCATACATTGATTTTGTTGCTGCTCATTTGTTTGAAGTGTAATTTTATATGAAAGGTATATGGATTAAGGTATTGTGCAGAACCCGCCCAAAAAGATGCATGCAAGAGTGTGCCCAAGACAATTTCTCCTCGTGCACACCCTGTTTTAAATGTGCTTTGCTCACAGCTCATACAAGCTTACTGTGTCGACATACAGTGGGGACTATATAGTGGACTTTATAGCAAAGTCAGTTAACTGACCGTTCGGACAGATGATCACTGCTTTTTGCTTTTTTGGTCACATAACTCCTCCTCCTCTGCGCCCAGCCTGCCCCATCTTTGTTATTAGTCGCAGCGGGCCGCTGTGATAGCAAATCCCATAATGCTTTGCTAAGAGAGCTCTCCGCGCAAAGCATTCTGGGATATATCTGCCTCTTCTGAGGCCTTTCTTTTCTTCTCATACACTTCGTAAACGCTTTTTCTCTTATGACCCTCGGCTATTTTCAAAGATCGGCGGTGAGAAAGTTGAGGTTCAATGACTGTCTGAAACCGTAGCTCACCACGATATACGTCTGAAATTGCCAATGTGCATAAAAAGATAGCTAACAGATTGAGCACATAGGATGCCTTACATAAACATATCACCACAATGATTGACAAGTAGGAGAACCACTGATTCAGATGATCAACCCGGAAATAATAGATCGTCCTCTATACCTTTAATAAAAATTAACAAACATAATTCTTAATATAAGATACATAATACATATTAAATATATCTACTATATATATCAACTGTATACACCTTGAACTGTAGCTATCAGGTGTATTAATTTCATTTAGAAAGTTTAGAGTGTATAATATGTGTTATTATTTAATATAACACTTCTATAAACTGACTATTAAGACACATATGTTAATAATTTTTTTGTTTTGTTTTGTTTGCAACTAAGTTTTCGATTTAAGCTGCAATTGTGATATGGATGATAATGTATAAAACCTGGGTAAAGAGGTTGCACTCTATGTATCTCATAAGCAGGTTAGATCTGAGATCAGGTCCAGCTTTACCAGAAAAAAAAAAAAAACTCTCCCATAAACATAATTTTTAGATACATCTGATTTTCAACCTTATCGTTATAACACAAGTTGTCATTTTAAACAGGATGACTGCAAATCTCATATCTACAAATCAAAAGACAGGTAAAACTGTTATTTGATTATGTGCTATAACGTTCTGCCTTACTCTTATGATTGATGTTTGCTACGTTTATGTAAATTTGGGGACGAAAAATAGTAGACTTGATTTATTTTCATTTTCCTTTAATCAGTTTGATATTACTTTGCAAATTTCTTATCTCCTCAAATACAGCAGGTGAAATTTTTCAGTTAACAAGACTTTTAGCACATAATCGATGTAGTAGATCTAGGAAATCAGACCCAGAAAGCCGTTTGTTGAAAATCCTTTGATTCTGTTTCAAGTTGGATGTAGTTGCAGTAGTAAATATTAAAACGAGGAACATTTAACAATAACGCAATGTGCGTATAAAGATGCGTTTTAGCCTCTAAGCCAAATTTTGGCTACACATATTCTCCGACTTCCTCAAACGCAGCATCGGTTTACGTGTCGTGTCGTCATCACGCACGCAGTGTTTGGTTTCCGCGCCGAGCCGATATGGCAGCGACGATCCTCGAGAGTAAACCAGGCGATGAGCCTACTGATGGAGGGGAGGACGCGGACAGGTCGATGCTGAGGGCCGACAGGTGAGGAAAACCCCGGGGGGAGGATAGTTTATCCGAGGCGGCTGTCGGTTCTCTGAACGCCCCCCTTTAATCTAGCTAACGCGGCTAACGGGCTAGCCCTCCTTCCGTCAGTCCCACGCATTGTGTCAGCGTGGCTGCAAGGAGAACAAAAGAGGAAATAAACGATTGTATTATTTTTAAAAATCACTTCAGACATTCAGCTCATGCATAGACTTATTCAAACGGATCGATTTATTAATACATTTGTCAGATCTGTCAAGAAAATTATATGTGAGATTAATGCTTGCTGCATTTTCACTTTTGAAATCAATATTTTATCCAGTTTTACTCTTTAGAATGATTTTTGCTTTATCTAACAAAGAGTTTTATGATATTATACCAACATATGGCTTTTTGGTCCCCAGCTACATTCTTATTTTAATGGATAAATATGATGTGTAATCCAGAGAAGCTTGTAATCATATTGTATTGATTTACCCCATTAGACATGAAAGGTCTGAAAAACAGACTTAGCAGATCTGCTTTATGTTTTTTGTGTTTTAAAAATCAGTACAAATTTATGGACACCCCTAATGATTCAAGTAATTAAAAATATATTAAGATGGTGTTTTTGATATTGATTCATAAGGAAATCTGAATGTCCAAACTTTATTTATTCATTTTATAGCAAAACCCATCTGTATATATGCTATTGTACATAACTTTAAAAACCCTTTTTATAGTAATATCCATCTGTATATTATATTCGGTACATAACCAGCTGTAAATTTAGTTCGTAACACTAGTTATCTATATATTATATTAATCTATTAGTAAGATTGTGTTTATAATGGTATTCATCTCTATACTTAGAAACCCATGTCCTGTATTTATGGAACCATTATTTATCCTGCAGTTGCTGTTATTGCACTTCTGGTTAGACCTAAACTGCATTTCATTGCCTTGTACCTGTACCTGTGCAATGACACTAAAGTTTAATCTAATCTAATCTAATGTTTTAGGTGTGAAACATGCTTTTCTAAACTTTAATGATCTGAATCATCTGTGTTAAAGCAGAGAAACATCAACACAGTACATTACAGTAATGGATTTTTGAAAATAGCAGCAACATCAGAGATGTGCAGAATGAAGCATGTTATTTAACTAAGAAAATCACTTCAAGATAATCAAGTTTTTGGGAGTTTTTATTATTAACCAGTGACCCTTGGTTTTAGTGCAGTGTAATAAGACGGGACACAAAGGTCAGGTTTTCTTATCACTCTTAAAAAGTTAGGGAAAAGACCCAGAAAAATACGTTAAATTTGAGGCTGACGTTGCAAAACATATCAGGTTATGATTTCAAGGAAATAGCACTTTGTTTTGAAACGACTGGATCGAACAAAGCTGAAAGAAGTGCTGGGGATAACACTATTTTCCTCCTTATTGATTTCTGTGTTTCAAACTTCTAACTAAAATCAGAATCTGAAAAAAAAAATGACACAAAGTCTAAAAACCATTGGCCAGTGCTTTCAAAACTGGGGAAATTTTTAAAAGGGGTTAGAGGTTGAGGGGGAACTTTCTTTTAAGCCAAAACCGAAAAGCATTTAGATTTTAGTTTTTCAACACGTTTTTATGCATCATGCTGATGATCGTTGTGGATGCTCTATATGTGTATTGGAACCATATCAGCTGAGGATTGGTGAGACTGCTTTTCACAAAGCCAGCCAAATGATGACAGCCTTACTCATGTGAACGGTGGCCTCCCTACTAGATGTCTTGCTGTCTTCTGGGCTACGGCGTGTTTTCCTGGGGGGGATCGGCAAGTTCTCCCTTCCTCTCCCTCGATCACTCCGACATGAAAGGTCAGACTGCGGAGAGCCCACATGGAGACATTCAAGTGAAAATGTTTCTTCCTTCCTCTCTGCAGAACATCAATGTATGTGCAGGTTCACAATTTATTATTATAATTATTAAGTTCTTTAATATCAGCTGAAGCTGCACATACATTGCCGTGATGAAAATGCCTGTAAAGAAGCAGCAGGGGGTCAAATATGAACTACTAAGGCAGATCTGATGGCAGAAACATCCCATCCAATCCTCTGATAAACAAATGAATCATTGATTGAATGTTTAATCTGTAGAAGGAACCCTTTGCTTACTGATGTTCATCTGTCTAAACGCAGCGGCAGCGGAGATGACTCCATGGACGGCATCAGTAGTCGCGTCCCCTGCTGTCCTCTGACTCCATCGCTGTCTCCACGGAAACGGACCACAAGCCAGTCCAAGACGGAGCCTCCACTGCTGAGAACCAACAAGAGGACCATCTACACAGCAGGCAGACCTCCGTGGTACAATGTCACCGGGACCACCTTCAAAGAGGCCTTCGTCATCGGTGAGGAAAGCACAGACTGCCTGCCTTCAGCTTTGATCAGTGGCTCTTAATCGTGCCTAAAAATGATAAAGAACAAAGCAGTGGATTTGATTATACTAAAATAACAAATAGCCCGTTTTAGAGGCTTTAACCATTTTAAGTAAAACAACAGAATAAAAAATGAACCAATAATATTTTTTTTAAATCTATTTTTTTTTATCATAAGCTTGGGATCTATGTTCTTTAGTTTCAGAGATCCAGAAAATGCATGATTCCTCTTTATGCAAAGGCTGTTTTTCTTTATTCTAAGACCTAAAAATACAAATGAATTGTTTGTTCTTTTAACTGGAAACACATCTCCTATAGCAGGTATTTAACAAAAATTAATTGTTTTTTATCTTAAGGTCATGTGCTATTTTAGACTTTTATTGAGCTGCATTAAGGCCAAAATAGCTCTTTGGATCTTAAAGGTTGCAGACACCTGGTTTAGGTTATTATGAACGTATTATCAAATCCGTTCTTATTTTCTAACTCCTATAATCATTACTAAATACATATTTGAATCTATTTGAAATGGATAATTTACACCCTTATCTATATTTTTATTTTATAAGGCTGATTATTTTAAATTCGTTGGGAAGTCATATTTAAATGTCAAATCATTCTGGCTTAAACATGTATATAAATGTAATCTTTATCAGACCATATTGTCCCAAAAGTTAGGAAATTTCAGTTTTACAAAATCCTGTCTTAAAATCTGTGTTTTTTTTCGTTATCTTTTGCAGGCCAGTTAGTTATACGTCAGCTTGTACACCTAAATTCGGCCAATCACATATCAACAGTCATCTATCAATCAAATTTTTTCGTTCATAGCATACTGATTCATATGCTGCAGCTAATATACGCAGCGGTTGAAATAAGAAATTTAGAATCCTTTCCTTTCCGCCCTGGCGTCCTCTTCCACAACATCTTCGTCCCTGCTTTCCTCCTCTAAATAAAAAATGGATGACGGAGGAGACTCATCCACGACATCCGACACAAAACTCTCCTCCTCTTGCATGTTTCCGCTGTCCATAGTGTTCCTTGACAGTGTCGTTTCTAAGTCACCAATTTAGTGCTATTTGGTCCCAAGTGAATTTCCCATTGGGAACCTACTGGCACTAAGTTGCTAACTGGTTAGCAAGAAGCTTCCGACAAACCGCCCACAATCAAACTTGCTTGTAAACCTTCCACCAGAATAATCCCGCCCCCTTAATAAACGAGATGTAAAGGTTTGTGGAGACAGGTGCCAATCCTGAGCCTTTCTACCTTAGTTTATGAGGTCGTGGTTTTTGTTGGTATGAAGAGTTTGATCAAATCTAATTACCAAAAATTGGAAATGACATTTTTTTAAAAGAACCTGATTTCCGTTGTTTTGGTTGTCTGTTTTTTTACAAGGCGTTAATGCGTTCGTTAAATTATCAT